AAAAGTTTCATGATTCTGATGCATTTAACGAATTTATTGGTTTTATTGAGAGATTAAATAATTCGGTTAAAGGACTATCCTTAACTACCGAATGTTTTATTTCTCCGGTAAATATTTAACTAGAATTTTCTGTTTATTTGAATAAGGTTATAACTTTTTTTTTTTTTAGACTTTGTCAAAGATGTTGGAGATATTAGATCAAATGAATGCTTATTGCGAAGAGATACCACCTGTACAAAATGAAAAGAGTAGATTTGGAAATCCGGCTTTTAGGGATTTCTATGATCGAGTTGTTAATGTAAAGTTGATTTTCTTGTTGATTCTGTTCGGTTGTTCCATTCGATCTGCAATAATTTATTCGTCATTTCATCTGACTTTTAGAATGCGGAAGAACTTCATGAAAATTTCTCTTTACCTTCGGCAGCCATTAAAGAAGTTTCCCGTTATTTTATGGAAAGCTGGGGAAATCGTAAGAGAATAGATTATGGCACGGGTCATGAAGCTAATTTCATGGCTTGGTTGTACGTGTTTATATATTTGGTATAAAATTTTTTTATCGCAGCTAATTAATTCAAATTAATAAATTAACTTTATATTTATAGATTATGTTTTGAAAAATTAGGATTGATCGGATCAGATGATTACGCATCTATTATATTAAGAGTCTTTCAAAAGTGTGTATTAAATATATTAAATGTAAATATTACTTTTTAAGCTTTCTATCGTATTTCAAAAATATTATTTTAAATACAAATTTTTTTTTTTCTTTTGTTTTAAAAGGTATATAGATATCATGAGGAATCTTCAATTTAAATATTGGCTTGAACCAGCCGGTTCTCACGGAGTTTGGGGATTGGATGATTATCATTTTTTACCATTTATGTTTGGGTCGTCTCAATTAATAGGTATGAAATTAAAATTGAGGAAATTAATTATTTGTTGAATCACATATTCATATTTATTATTATTTTAGGTCATAAATATATCAAGCCAAAGTCTATTCATGATAAGGATATTGTTGATGAATTTTCCAAAGATTTTATGTATTTGTCCTGTATAAAATTTATAAACTCGGTAAATATTGAAAATCATGTGATTTTTAGGTGTCGTTTTTAAACTTGATGCTAAGTAACTTTTAAATAGATTAAAACGGCATCCCTCCGATGGAATTCACCAATGTTAGATGACATATCTGGCAAGAACTTTTATAGATCTATTCATAATAATTTCTTCATATCATAAATCATATATTAACCCTCTACGTCTTTACGCTTTGGATATTTTTTTAGGGGTTAAAGAATGGAAGAAGGTTAACGAAGGAATGATTAAGATGTATAAAGGCGAAGTGCTTGGAAAGTTACCTATAATGCAACATTTTATGTTTGGAAGTTTAATATATTTTGAAGGAAATTCTAATGAATTACAAGAACAGGATCATGATCATGATGATGATGATGATCACGTACACGCTTTTGGTCAAGAATTTCCTGATTGTTGTGGTATTAAAATCCCAAGTGCCGTCGGTGCTAGTCAAATGAATATGAAAGAAGGAAAATTTAGAAGGTTACCGTTCGATTAAGGATCAAAAGTTTTTAAGAATTAATTAATTTATCACTTTCAAAACTTGAAAAATATAAACATTATTATTATTTTTTTAATGTAAAATTTCTATTTATTAAAAATAAGAGAAAACAAGGAACATATTTCAATAATAAAAAGGCTAATGAACAAAAATGAATTCTTAATATTTACAATGATACTGTAATGATTCATAACATAAAAATTATAAACTAATAAATGTAATTAAAATAAGATAATAATATTTTTTTTTATCATCGTTCCAACCTACAATAATTATGCAGATGGGATTTCTTCGTAGCTACTTCTTTTCCATATATCCCAAAAATGAAAACAACCAAATCCTCCAATACCGAAAAATCCTGATAATAAAAGACCAATAATGACGCCTAAAAATATTCTACCAATAGCTTCACCATTAAAATCGGGCAATAAAACTTTATCGATTTCGTAAACAGCTCCTCCGTTCCAAGCTTTACCACCAATTAATAATTTCGCAGATACCCATTGACCTTTGACCCCAACATTATAATCGCCACCTAATAAATCTCTTTTTATAACTAATTTGACATCATCGGCTAATAAAGTAGGCGCTTCGTAACCATCTTTTATTTCGTCAATAGTTGCTGGCACTATATGTATTCTTGCCCATCTACCTGCTAATTCTTCGTCTGAAATTAATTTGCTCACATTAATTTTCCTAAATGCATCTTCTGATGGGACAAATATCGTAAATGGGTTTATTGGATCTTGTACTAATTCGGTTAAATTTGCCGCATTAACGATCTTTAAAAATGTACGAGCATTAATTCCTTTAAGTAATTTAGCTATTGTTATATGTAATGTTGGTGGAATCAAAACTTTATCAACTACATGTAATACTCCCGATGAAGTTAATACATCTTTTTTACTAACTTCCGTTGTACCATTTGCACCATCAATAAATATATCACCATTGACCTTATTAACTTTAATCGGCTCATTATCTAATGTATAATAGGTCGATTCCCCATCTGGTATTTCTTCACTATACATTGTTTCATTAATCAAGTGATTATTTATAACTAATCTTAAATCATTGATCGCATCTTGATGCAAGAAATAGGCATAAATCAATCCTAATTCCATGAAAGCTTTTTTTGATGGTGCAATCATTGTAAATCCTTTAGCCGATCTTACTTTCGATATCAAATTACCATGATTAACAAAGAAATTAATTGATTTCAATTGTTCATCACTTCCAAGGATTTTCATAATAGGTGGTGGTGGGTTCAATTTTCCTGATAATACGTAAATGATTGCATTTCCGATTTCGACTGGTTGATCTTCTACGATAGCATCATTGAATCGAAGTTCTGTTCTCTGAGTTTCATCTTCTACATACCATCTTTGTAATATGGAAACAGTAGCTCTTTGTCTATGATTTTTTAAATCTTTGGTTCTTAATTCGGTCTTGATATGCATATTATTAAATAAATCTGAAGTTACATATTTCCCTTCCAAAACATGATATATTAAAGTATCTTTCCCTATGCTAATTAAATTCTCGTCAAAATATTCATCTCTTGGTGCCAATATTGTATATGGCGTGTCTGAATCTTCAATATAATGTTGTAATCCGAATTTTATCATTGCACTTACAAATTTTGTTGCTCTCAATCCACAAAGGTATTTATGTTTTGTAAAATGAAGCGCATTTGGTATTGCGATATTATTAATGACATGAATAACTCCATTTTCGGCCAATAAATCTTTTAAGGGGACAGTTCCATCGGCAACACGTATGTTACCTTGTTTATCTTTCTCAACTTTGATTGGTTCGCCCTGTACCGTACTCACTACATAATAAAGGAGGTAGGAATTTTATTTATATATATTTTTTAAAAAGAAAAATTTTAATCGTAAATCAATTTTTCAAACCATTTGTATTTCCAACGCCAAATTTTTCCGAGTAAAAAACTTCTTCATAATTTAAGTGATGTTTAACAAATAGATCCAAATCATCTAAACCACCACCACATTCTCCAATTAAATACTGTCTTTCATGAAATTGTAATTGACGATTTATAGCATCGTTTGTAGGTGCAAATATAGTAATATGATTTCCATTTGACAAATAATCATCCAACTCTCTCTCACGAAGAAAATTGGAAAAAACTTGAAGTTGATCAATAGAAGATAAAGATGTATCTATAAAAAAAAAAATCTTATAAACCGATTAAATTTACTAATTAATAAATAAATTTAATTAATTATTTTACTTACATATATCCCGAGGAGTACGGAAAACTTCAGTGACTACATGAATAATTCCTACGATTTCAAAAATATTTTTAATATTTTAAATAGAATTGTCATAAAAATTTAACGGTTTATTAAATTTATTACTACTTACCATTATCAGCTTGCAAATCAAAATCTATGACTTGACCATTACCAACATAAATTTGAGTATCATTAGCTTCTTCAATATCAACTCTAATTTTTTGCCCAAGATTATCTGGCCCAAGTTTTTCTCCCATTTTCAAATGGGTAGTTAATAATTGTCCATTTTGAAGTTCTTCTTTTTTAATTTCTTGATAAAGTAGATGATACAACATACGTTCTTTGGTAATAAGAGGGTCATCTTCAAAAGCTTTATTTATAGGCGCAAATAAAGTTGCTGTTTCTAAATGATTAATATAAGGTAAAAGCATGGTTCGTTGTAAAGCTCTAACTAGATTACTAAATCTTTGATCTTCATAAAGTACATCTGGAATAGTTTTTTTGGCATGGCTGGGAAGATTTAGTAAAAGTATTGTAATAAATAATAAATAAAATATAGACATCTTTTAAAAAAGAGAGGAAAAAGGATTAAAAATGGTCTTCGTAATACAAAGTTAATTTATATAATATGAAACAACCCGCAGTAAGAATTTAATTTTCCAAAAAAGTAAAACAAAAATCTCACGTACCATTGTTTCTATAAACGTATTTTTGGAATTTTTGTGATTTACAGATTAACAAAATATGCATCTGAAATATTCACAGGTTCTCGTGTTAGTAACAAAGTCTCAAACGTTTTAACTTTCATTTGAATCATCTAGTCCTTTCTTTCCTCTTATACCAGAAACAAGTCAGGATGTTAGATAATCAAAAGAAATTGGCGTAAATTGATAATTAAGCTTGATCGAGGTTCCGGAAAAACTGATCGAATAAAGCCTGATTCATCATGAAATCAATGTGTCAACATATGCATGCATGTGTAACTGATTAACTGACCATCGACCTATACTACAGTAAAAATATATAATATTATATACACCTTATATAGAAATTTATAATAAATTCCAAGTCATGTGTCCACTAATTTATTATTGGTCGAAATTATGCATAAGTAAAAAAAAAAAAAATTAATTTTAACAAATTTTTTTTTTTATCAAATGGCAACATTCGAAAAAATCGAAAAAGAATTAAATGATGCAAAGGATGGATTGAATAAGACGGAGGAGAAGTTGAAGGAATTCGAAGAGGGGTCGAAAGAAAAAAAAATATGGGATTTGGAGGAGAAGTTGGATGACGGAGAAGAAAGGAATGAGGAGCAGAGGAAAGGGTGGGAAAGACTGAGAGACGAGTTGAAGGAAGAAAAGAAGGAGTTGAAGACGACGAAAATGAAGTGGAAGGACCAAACGATAAAGTCGCTGGATAAATTAATTGAATTCAATGAAGAAAAAGGTAATGAACAAATTGTGTAAAAAAATATTATTTTTCATTTATTCCATTTCGCTTATTTATTTATTGTTTGATATACTGTTTACAATATTGACTGCTTGTGCTTTCAATTCCTTGCTGTGTACTGTTAATTAAATTCAAATGTTTATTTAACTTTTAAATTTTCAGAACGTTTAAGCCTAGAAGAATATTTATCACGTACTCCGCCATATTTCGCATATTCTCCGCATAGCACTACTTCGAAAAGTTCCACAAGAGCAGTCGGCATTCCTCCGGATGAAGTAAAAATTTGGAAAGATTTTTCGAAAACGTAAATAAGCATACATTCGATCAAGAATGAAAATTCAAAGAACCGAAATTTATTGAAGATTTTATTCCAACTAATGAAGAATGTGTCCGCCCAGGCTATGAATGTTAATATTTGCTTACCGTTGAACAGGGTCAACTCTAATTATGAGTTTACAATGCGAAAAGTTGCTGGTGCTGGGGACCCAGATTTCGTTTGCCACAAAAAAGATGGTGATGTATTGATCTTAGCAATCGAAATCAAGATTTTAAAACATATCAAACCTGGCCAAACATTACCTGAACTCTACAAAGAGGATTCTAAAGCGAAGATGGTTATACAGCAACTCTACAACTACTTATCAGAAAACGAACTTAAATATGGAGCACTTTCTACTTACGATTGTAATTGGTTTGTTAAAAGAGATCATAAACATCTATATATTTCAGAGTCTCTTCAATATGATTCAACACGTCCAACACTACTAAAAACTTATGCATATCTGGCCCAGCAGGCAATAGACGACGGCCATTTTTCCCATCATGCTAACATCATTCCACAAACTGACAATTCAGAACATAATTTTCGAAAACGTCCATATGATGATTCTAGTTCAAGGCAACCTCCCTCTGGAAAAAGTCAACAACCATCTTCATCTTCAGGAGGAACATCTTCTAGTACCTCTGGAAAAACATCAGGAAAACAAAACATGGAAGCACAGAGTTTTAATTATGGGGATTTTAAGTATATAAGTATATTAAGTGCTGGAGAAAACAATAAGGTTCTTGAATGTGAGTTCTATGGAAAACCAATTGTTTTAAAATGCACAGCCTTATCAAAGAAACCCAACTGTCTGGATGAATTACTGAATGAAGTTGAAATTTATGGAGTTCTCGCTAAACTTCAAGGTATGTATATTCCAGAACTATTGTTTTATGGTGATTTAGCAAATGGAATGAGCTTTATCATGGGATTGAAATTTGTTGGCAGCACATTGTATCATCATAACATCAATATATGGCAAAAGGAACGGGCTCTTAGTGTATTAAAGAAAATTCATGATTGTAAAGTTCTTCACAATGATATTCGTGAAGAAAATATCCTGGTCGATGAAAAAGGGTATACCGTACCGTTCCGAAATTAAGCAACCCCCGAAAATAAGCAACCCATCAATTAGTATAGATCCGAAAATAAGCAACCCATAAATTCCTGTAATTAAACATAATAATTAAATATAATAAACATTAAAAATAGCATTAAATTTATTAATAATGTATTTTTATTATAAAATATTAATTAGTCTAAACTACAGTAATTAGTAATATTATTCATTATCATTGCTATTGCCATCATCACTATCGCCATCATCACTATCATTATCATCGCCATCACCACCATCATCATCATCATCGCCATCATCACCACCAATAATATCATCACTAGAATCTTCATTATCATCATCCGATATGCCCAAAGAAGTCGAAATCTTGCAAGTCTTGAAAGACTTTATAACCATTTTGGAATTCCTTCTCAAGCACGTTTGACTCACCCACAAACATCAGATAACCTAGCACAACGAAGGTTTCCTGATGTGGTTACTCCTGCATCACCTCCTGCCATCCAGATATGCCATTCCTTACGAAGATTGTCTTTAAATAGCTTATTAATTATTACATCAAGTGGTTGACATATGCTAGTTAAACCACCTGGAATAACCGCCAAATCGATACCATTGTTATGAAACCTGGTTTTAACTGAATCTTCAAGATGTCCTCAGAAAAGATCGTATACCATCATTGTTGAAGCATTATTGATTGTTAGATTATCATTAATATAATCAACATATTTCTTCATTAAATCGGTATCCATTCATCTGTTCTTCTGAAACTAAACAATGACACTGGATGGAATCTGTTCACCACATGGTAATCATTTACCTTTAAAGATGCAAATTGGTGGAAATTTTGTACTATCTACAGGATAAAAATTAGATAAAAATAAAGCTAAAAGAAAAAAAAACTGTTAAATGGAACTTTACCCGTGACATATATCAAGACAACTGTGAATTGGTTCTTTTCATTGTCAGTGTCACGAATATGAATTGTTTTTTCGCCTATAATATCGATTGTAAAGTTTCCTGCTATATCGAACCAGACAGGAGTTTTGTTCATATTTAAAATGTTAGATAACTTAAATGATTTTTCAGTTCTAAGGTTGATGATGAACTGACAGAAATTTTCTAATAACTCAGCAGTTTGTGATGAAAGCTTTTGTGAAATTTTAGTTCAACGTCGCTGAGATAGATTAAATCTTTTCATGAATGCAAACATCCAACAATTTGATATTTTAAATTCATTTGTTGAATATCTATAAAGACTTATCATAGCAGGTTCTTTTAAAATATCTAGCATCTTAACTTACGTGATGGCATATATAACACCTAAATCCTGCTTTCTCTGCTTAATGATCCAATTGTATAGTTTTTTTTCAGCATCTAAGTAAAAGCTATTTCGGCTAGAACTTATTCGTTTGCGGTTTTAGTTTAGTTCTTTAAACCATTTTTCATTTGAATTAACCCAGCGACTAACTATGCTTTTATTAAGTTCAAAAGTATTTACCACTCTAATTATTCCATTTTCCTTAACATAAGTGACAACTTGTCTCTTTTGCTTAATAGAATATGAATTGCGACTTCGTTTAAGGGTTTTTTTATTAACAGATATTAGTCTTTTTTGCTTTTGTGATGACATATTAAGTTTTAAAACAAGTTTAGAAACAAGTTCGTGATTGATCACGTGTGATTTATTGATTGTGATATCATACTACATTATACAGATGATTATTTTGTGTAATGTGATGACGAAGAAATGTTTATTATGTAGCAATTTTTTTGTTTCTTCTTCTACAAAAGAAAAAAGTACCAAAATTAAGCAATCCTATAGCAAAAAAGGATTGCTTAATTTTGGAACAGTATGGTATTTATTTGACTGATTTTGGTATATCAATTCGAAATTATGATAAGAAGTTATTTTTTAAAGAGAAGTTTGAATTATCATATTTATTAGATTACTAATACAATCAACTCTTTTTACAACGAATTTTGATATAACAAATTTTACAATACAACGGATTTTCAGTGTCAGACCAGGGACGATGATCTCCAGTGACGAAATTTTGCAAAATCTGCCAGCGTTTATTTTAAAATCTGCCCCGCTTTCTGTGGCTTATTATCATCATTCTACGGATATTTTATTATATTAATTATAATTTCTGCTCATTTTGGCGAAAAAATAAAAATAAATTTTATTAATTTTATTATCTCAAAAAATTTAATTGCCATTAAAATACATCATATTTAACTTTTTCAAAGAATCTTCTGAAAGATTTTGGCGATTATTATCTAAAATATTATTATAAATTGAGAA